CAATTAAAATAAGAAATGTTAAGCGCATTATTTATAGAGCTCGACATAATTTCATATTTGGAAGCTTCATAACTAGTCAAAAAATTTGAGAATCTTAGTACAAAATCACGTGAAGCGCACATATTATCAACTAGTAAACAAAATGTTCTCTTTTCTTTTACAAAAACAAACAAAAAAAATATTGGTTCCGAACTTATTTCTTTTCCTTTTTCTTCAATGACAATCTTGCATGCAATGGATGTGCACAATCAAATTAAACATCAAGGAACAAAGAATCATATAATTTTGGAACTGATCGGATTGGAGGAATGATAGATGACCTTGGCAAAATTCTTACTTCTAGATCTACCAAATGTGTAGAAGAAGTGCAACCTCATGAAAAGTTGGAAATTCATTGGTGTTCTCTTTCCTCCTCAACAATTGTGTTTCATCCCCACCTAACACGAACTTGGCACACGTGTTCTACCACTTCCATCTCCATCACTGAGGACTTCTTGAGACAAGACTTGAGCTGGGCACGCAGGCTGCTGCTGATGCAGTGGCTAAGAATCTTTGGCGACCACCCTTTTCTCAGCTACATAATCTTTATTTCCTGGATAGTGCAACTAAAATAGCAGGAAGCTTTAACAAAATGACACGATCTTGAATAAAAATTTGTGTACAAATTTAGAATGACATGATCTTGAACAATAATTTGTGCACGAAATAAAGCCAAGATGCAATATTTTGATAACATGAAGTCCTTAGGAAACTTTGATTAATTATGAAACATAAATCCTCATGGTTGAGTCCCCTACACGCAGCTTATCCAATTAATGGTGCACCCACAGGTGCAAAATCAGCTGCATCAGCAACCCATGTCCTCTTTTTGAAGTCTAGCTTTATCTCACATCCAACACGAAGAAAATGGAGCTCCTATGTTTTGGTACAACAACCTTGTTTAGTTTTCAGAATTGTATTTGGCTTGATAGCACTCCTTCTTTCCTTGACAAAACACTTTAAATTTTGGATTTTTCTAATTAATATATATTCGGTTTTGCCTTCAAAAAAAAAATTGTTTCAAGATTTGAACTTATGATAAATGTTTAGAATACTTGTATCATATTGATTAGACAGTAAATTCATTTTTTTTGGCATGACCGTTGGATAATTTCACCAAAGTTTTAATGACCCATCTTAAACAGCTATTGCCTAAGATAATTTCACCATATCAGAATGTCTTTGTTCCAGGGAGATTAATGAGCGATAACACTCTTCTGCAGGAAGTTAATACATTTAGTTGACCTTAAAGTGTGAGGGGGTTACACTAAATCTGGACTTGCAAAAGGCTTATGACTATGTAAACTGAAATTTTCTGCTCAAATCTGTGTCTTCCTTCGGCTTTGATGAACGCTGGGCGACAAGATTGGAATATGTATCTCAGGCTGCTGGTTTTTTATTCTTATTATTGGTGAGTTATCTGGTTTTTAATTCTCTGTTTATCTTAAGCGCTGAAATTTCTTCTCATGGGCTTCAACAGCTGGTGGAAATATATTCAGAGATTATCTTTAGACTGCGGGCCAGCTATCTATCTTTCATCTTTCCTATGCAGATGACTTTCTTTTCTTGTTAACGGGCAAAAAAGTGCCATTGAAAAAATTATTTTTTTTTGTGGCCTATTATGTAGATATATCGGGACAAATTATTAACAATAATAAGAGGGGCTCTCTGGTATCCCATAGGCTACAACTCCTCCGATTCACAAGTGGAACGTCTCACGGGAATCAAGCAGTAGATATTGCCCTTTGTTTATCTGTGGACGCCACTATTCAAAGGAGAAATAAAGGGCTTACAGTTTGTGGAATACTGAAAAAAAAAAAACTAAGACTCGAGTGATGTGCTAATCAGACACTTTCTCCTGGAGGTCATATCACTTTCATAAAGTCAGTTCTTAGTTCTAAGTTCTATCCATTTACATAATCCAGGACATTTATTGCCCGAAATATGTGATAAAGAAGTTCGAAATGACAATGGCTCGTTTTATATGGGGATCATCTGAACATAAAAAATGCGCACATTGGGTCAAATGGAAATAGACATGGTTCCAATTTACTGAAGTTGGGTTGAGCTTTCGAAGTACGAAAGAATTAATATGGGTGTTTTCTTTTAAGATGAGGTGGATATTTCTCTCCCAATCATCATCGTGGCTCACTTTATTTTGGACAAATATTGCAAAAATAATCACTCGAGGCTTTCTTTGACCCCTACTTCAGCTTCTCCCACATGGAAACTTAAGGCTGCAGCAGACTGGACTGAACTGCACTTGGCTTGGAAATTTGGAAAATAGGAGATCTTTTTTTGGCACAATCATTGGTTATGTTGGATGTTAAACACAAAATAATAGAGAAATGATATAGAGAAATCAACACAAGTATTTAATGTGGTTCAGCGATGTGCCTACGTCCACAAAGAGTGAAACAGATATTATTTTTCAGGATGAATTATAGGGTTACATCATCAATATTTATATTAACCCTAACTCAAACCCATACAAGACTTTATGGCATGTACAAGAAATAATACACATGTACTGTACTACCCAACATATTCAGCGTTCCTAGCAAAAGAACAGTGAATTAAACCCACAAGGCTGATGACGTCGCTCCGCTCCAGCATCGGCCATTTTAATCCAATAAACCTATGTCCCACTCTATATAAGCCACATATACAACAATCTCCACTTTAGATAATATTTACTCTTTTGGAGAAAACACTGAAACAAGTATAACTTGGGAAAAACTCACCATCTAAGACCAATAGATTGGGACACATCCTCTCTAACACTTAGAGATGTTAAACAAGTGCAAGCAATGCTTGAACATATCCATTGTGATTAGCTTTGTCAACATGTCTGTTGCATTCTCTAAAATATGTACCTTATCTAACAACAATTCTCCTGAAATAACTAACTCCCTTATCTTATGAAATCTCGCATCAATGTGCTTGGTTCTTGCATGATAAATCTGATTCTTTGCTAAGAAGATGGCGCTCTGACTATCACAATACAGCTTTATTCCATCTTGCTTGATCCAAACTCCTTGACAAGCCCTCTCAGTCACAATAATTTATTTGCTGCCTCAGTTGCTGCCATGTATTCTGCTTTAGTTGTGGATAATGCCACAAGTGACTGTACCATTGATCTCCAACATATAGGCCCACTTGCATGTGTGAAAACATAACTTGTATGGGACCTTTTGCCATCCAAATCGTTTGCATAATCTGCATCTACGTATCCCTGAATTGAAATATCATCATGTTGTCTCTCAAACGTGATCCCACACTCCATTGTATCTGAAAATCCACTTTACAACTCTCCAATGCTCTCTGTCGAGATTAGCCATGTACTCGCTCACCACGCTGACTACATGTGCTAAATCTGATCTGGTCACACCATTGCATACATCAAACATCCCAATGTGCTGGCATAAAGCACCTTTGATATCTCTGTAATTTCTTCTCCATTCTTGGGGCACTAATTACTAGACAATCTGAAGTGATTTACCTATGATGTACTCACAGTTTTACATCGGACATGTTAAACCTCTCCAATACTTTCTTCAAATAATTTTTCTAAGATGCTCATAATTTTTTGGCTTTCCTATCTCTGTTGATCTCCATGCTAAGATTCTTCTTAGTCAGTCCCAAGTCTTTCATGTCAAACTTACTACTCAACAAAAACTTCAATCTGTCTATCTCATTCATGTTCTTAGCAGCAATTAACATGTCATCCACATACAACATCAAGAAAATATATGAATCATCCTCAAGAACTATGTAGTAAACACAATAACCATACTCACAACGACGGTAGCCAATCTGAATAATGTGGGAGTCGAACTTCTTGTACCATTACCGTGGAGACTGCTTAAGCCCATATAAAGACTTTTTCAAATTATAGACAAGATTCTCTATTCCTGGTTCCAAGAATCCCTCTGGCTGCTCCATGAAAATCTACTCCTCCAAATCACCACAAAGGAAAGCGGTCTTCACATCCAACTGCTCTACTTCCAAATCAAAATTGGCCACCATTATCAAGACAATCCTAATGGAAATGTGTCTAACGACTGGAGAGAAAATCTCATCATAATCTACTCTCTTCCTCTCTGAATATATTTTAGCAGCTAACCGAGTTTTGTAACTTTCCTGTCTCTTTTCTAACATTGCTTCTTTCTTTATGTACACCCACTAATACCCTATTGATTTCTTCCCCTCCAATAAACCTATATTTCACTCTATGTGAACCACATATACAACAGTTTAGATACATGAATCTTGTGGAATCTTTTCCGGATAAGTGTCACTCGATGATGAAGGTAAAAGATTATATGAACCACAGAGAATGGATCATAGCTAAACTTCAGCAAGAAGGGCAACTGCATATATTTTCCGTCCCTTATTATTGAATTTTCAGCAAGAACTACAGCTTTGTCAATGTGAATTTGAGTTTCACAGAGATTCTAACTCTAAGCGTCCAGTTTAAATCAAGAAAACATCTAAACTTTCATTTGACTAAATAAAGTCACCAGGTTTGGTGTCTTTGAGCAGGAAAAGAAAGGTTAAAGTAACATGTTATCGTTGTATTCTTAGTATATAATGAAAGTAAATTAAGGTTAGATTGTATTTTATTTCGAAACTCTACTTGAAAGATCCTTTCATGAATTGGAAATATCTACAGCAAAATATGATCACAGATCATTATAAATCATGTTTTGCAAAACCGCACTCACAAGGAACTTCATCTAACAATCATGATCCCTTGATTTTACAAAATTGCACGGCTCATGCATCCCCGACGCCTTCCTTTACCAGCTAGAAATTCCATATTTGAACAGTATACACCATGTGTGCCGGGCTTCTTTGAAGTAATCTCGTCCTTTAGTGTGCTGCTTGTGTGCTTTACATTTTAAAAGAGGCAAAAGGTTCTGAATTCTTGGAATAACACATACTCGTCTTGGCAACTTCTAAGCAGGCTCGTAGAGACCTAAGACATGGCCATCAACACACCTCATAGCCACAACCTGGTAAAGCCAAGACAGGAATCAAGATTAAGTTTTCCTAATCTGAACACAGCGGACAGAAACACGGATAAAGCTTTCCAAGTAGTCTATTTGCCCATTAAGCATGTTTGGCTGAGCTTAAAAGGTCAACTTACAAGTAAATAAGTAAGTTTTAAAATATATAATTTTGCTTAAAAGTAAAAACATGTAAGTTATGCAAATATGCGAGAAAACAATAAGTAACTTTCCATGGACCTCATATTTGCCAAACATGTCTTGATCCTAACGTAAAATGTGATTCCAAAAGTCTATATTTTATTGCTTCGTAGATTACCTTTCCATGGACCTCATATTTGATTGGACCATCCATCTCTGCACCCAAAGCCATCAGTTTTGTCACCGTACTGTTGATATCAGTCACTGTAAAGGATAGGAGTGACGAGTATCCCTTTTGCTCAACATGGTCACTGAAAACACAAGGAAAAAGAAAATAATGTATTTATATGACAGTCAAGCACCCTCGAAAAAAGAGATGGATCTACCAAATCCTGCAAATATAAATGAAAGTAGTTGTCCCCATATCTGTTTCTATACATTACATTCTTCATACAAATAAATGAATTACTTGTTGTGACCGTAAGGTAGGAGTTTCTTTTATTGATTTCCGACTTTCAGCTCACCAACAAAAGGTTATTTGTTTTAAAATTTACTTATTTAAGTTATACGTAAACCTATTAACAAATATGGAAAAGACTGTTTCTATAGCACGTTCAATCAATGAGTGTAAGATAGTTCAGGAGAACCACAGATGTAAATGTTTCATTCCTCCCCCATGAAGCAAACATGCAATCTGAGAAACTAGAAAGCCTGTAAAGATAAAATTAAGCTTATTGTTATATTGATCAGTTATGCTACAGGTACAATGCGATTGACAGCTTTATTGACAGTGTGTGAGGTGGCCAATATTTTTGCCACTGATTTTAACAGCACTTAAACAATCAATGGTATAGATTTTTACACCTCATTGAATGTCAACAAAGCTGTGCATTTTTTATGTACAAATAGCATAATTCTATATTGTGGCTTAGTACGAAGCCAAAGATGATGTAAGTTTTCTTCCAGACCAACAATGTCAGTCGTCAGAGAATCTGACACACAGGAGAAGGTTCATGCTGCTGCCACCCACTGCTTCTCGTGCAAGAGTCTACTAAGATTGTCAGATCATCAAATCACTTCAACGAAAATCATTGGCATTGAAAAATTGGCTTTTTATCGTCTAAATATGCAATGAATAATATTATCTCTACTATCCACAGACAATTAGTCATGACTGCAAGAACAGTGCATAACTACATTCAGATTACAAGTGGAAAACAGTATCATAATTTGATCAGAAATGTTTCATTTTCTGGACTTCATCTAAGAGACCTCAATATTATATCAGTTAACAAACATAGGACAGAGAGCATAACCAGTGTCAAGAGTGGCAAGCAGAACCATCTGAATTGTTAAGTAATAGTGCCTAATTATTGTCGCTTCACGGAGGTGTTTCATTTTTAATTAAGGACCGTTCAGAAATTTTTGTTCTTGTAAAATTCTATTAAAGAGTTGGAATCCTTGTAAAATTCGATTTTTCCCTAATTTAACTTGTACATAGGAAGCCATCCTTAGGCTTTATTATTTTATCATAAAAAAGAAACAAAAAGAGGTTAGAGAAGATAGGAGTTTGTGATTTTCTCTTGTAAACCTTTATTTTAATCATAGTGAATTACTGCAACGACAAGAAATGACGTCGTTTCACATTGAGGCAAACCTCTATAAATCTTGTGTGTTCTTGAGTATTTATTTTTCTTTCTTCAAATTGATTGCTCTCGATAGAATAGAATTAGGGTTTAAAATTCACAACGCTGAACAACCAATAAATTAAAAATAATAGGACGTTTGTGAACGATGAGCACACCTTAAAGTAAATTTAGAGATTTAAACTCGTACCTTCATTCAAAAAGAATCACCTGGTTAACAAGCAAAATTTATATATGGCTTGGAAAAAATAATTCTGCTAGAATCATATCCTTAAAATAATAAACTATCATTCAACTTATTGCATAATTAACAACCTACTGCACTTGCCCCTTGTAAATTTTTAGCATTGGTCGACAATGCAAGAGTAACACAATTTCATCCGATAGAACTCAGATCACATGTAATCCTTTAACCTTTAGCCAGTTGAACTCATCACAGTTCAAGAATGCCAGCACTCACCCCATACGCATCTGGCCATTAAAATAAAGCAATATAAATCTCTGGGGATAACATCTTTGGGCACCCTGGTGCTGCCAATGGTAACTTTACAGGGGGCTACATTCGACCAGAAACTATTTGATCTCCAAATTTTCATACAAGAAAAAGTTTAGCAGGCAAAACAAACCTCATAAAAGCCATCATTTCATCATCACCAAATTATTATACAAAACTTACATTTTAATTGCATTACAATAATCGTTGTTATTCAATTACCATCCAATTAAATCCTCCAGCACTAGATGAAATGAAGTGTTTCCAATTACAATATATATATATATATATATATATATATATATATATAT